CTTCCCTCTCCTTAAAATAAAAGAATAATAACTAAATCAGACAAAATAACGAGTTTCCACAATTATTGGATGTCTAAACAAACATGTGTATATACATACAATCGTTACATATTCTCTATGAGCTCTATACCTACAAGCAACGAGGACCAACAAAATTTAAAATTGCAACTTAACATTATAAAACAACAAAGTCATATTATGAGACAAAAAAGATTTATCAAAATAATCTTAACAATTTGTACCTTTTTTGCGCAAAATTTTTCGTTTGCTTTATTCTATTGGGGCTTTCCTTTATAGTTAGAGAATGGGTTCTTTTACTATCTTTTAATATTTCAATCAGTTCGGTTAAAAAAAAGGTTTTACATTTATTATGTTCACACTAATTGCTTGTTTATTAACAAAAAACCATTCGCTAATATCAAATTGATGTTGCAGGGTCTGGCTAAGAGTGAAGATTCTGCCGAAGTTATTGACAACCGATTTGACAAAACCGAATGCAATGGAAACTTCAAAAAATTTATATTAAATGTGCTAAGGCGGGGGTCTTATCTTAAGCATCCATCTAGAAGTGGTCACTTTTATCGAGTAAATTCGAGCAGAAAGATTTGTAATATTTCCGCTTGAAGTAGTTCCTTTGCTGCGTTATCTATCTGCTTTGCGGTTGTATCCATATACTTTTCGTTATCTATCTGCTTAATAAAAGAATCTTTTAAAGTAATGCCAATGATTTAATTTGTGTAAATGATATTTTCAAATTTTCAGATTATTTTTTCGCTATTAAATATTTAATGTGCGTCAAAAAGATGATTGAAATTTAATTACATGAAAATCCATTAAAATTACAAGCTCTTATTCATTGAAAAGAAAATTTTTTCAATTATTGAAATACACATATTAAGGAATCACATGAAACTATATTATTTCGCTTGCTCATGAATATAATATTTTGGTTATAAGTTGCTCCCATGATCTCGAAATTTAAATTAAAAAAAATATAGTATTATTTAGACAGTTTCGTCTAAAAATATTTTAAAGTATTTGAAATATCATGTAACTTCCGGGAAAATAATTTTTAAATATAATATATGAAAACAAGAAATCTTAAGCTCGAGAAAAATTTTATTATAGTTTTAATATAAATCTATCTTATTGGGTTTCTTCAAATATTTTTCTGAATATACGGTTCCAAATATTTTAAAAAGGTTATAACTTTTGCTTCGAACAAAATTGAATAAGTTTTATTAATTCCACTTTGTCCGTGCGTGTGTTTACATTCACATTTAAAAATATAAGATATAAAATTCATCATCGATGTAATAGCTCTTGAAATAAAACTGTAACTATTTGAATAAAAATTACAAGTTTTATAATACGAATAGTTTAGGGAATTTATTTCAGTCAAGCAAAACTTCATGAATTCAGACTATTGAGTACTTAACGACATTAGTCCAGGAACGTTAATATCGCATAATAAAAACAAAAAAAGAATCAGTGGAAAAAATAACATATAAACCTTAACATTTCATGTTATTTTTTAATTCTTTATTCTGTTTTAATAGATTTATTGCATGTATACATTGATTTTATTTATATGATTCTTCTTTTACATAATTTGTTTAACATGATTTTGCTTATAAATCAACACTTTTAAACTTTTAAGTTCTTTCCTGAATAAATACATTAGTTTTAAAAAAATAATCAATTGGAAAAAGTAAAGATAACGACTTCCTTGTTTATCTTGAGAATAAATTGAAAATTAAATAAAAACTAAACCACTACTACTTCGACTGATGCCAAAATAAAAAAAAATTGTATACATATTTATGTACATACGTTTATGAATATTTATTTTACTGTTTATTTTAATACAAAAAAATAATAAAATTTGTAGTATATTCAAATATATGTATGTATATAAAGCTATAATTCACTTATTTATATATACATATATTTTTTAATTTGTTTTTAACCAAAAAGCATAACTACTACGTAAAAAATATGTATTTAATGTGTTCCTTTTTTAAATTAAAAAGCAATTTTTAATGCTTTATTTTTCGATTATTTATATGTACTTATGTTTTAGTTAAAAATATTGTTGTAGTCGTGTTGCGTCAATATACAAAACTAATAATTAACTTCTATAATAAAAATACTTTTCTATGTATAAATGTCAATTACTTTTATTTTAATATTATATGTGCATTTTATTTGATATATTTTCTTGTTTTTTAAATTGAAAAAGCAACTTTGAATGAAAATAACAAAATTACTATTTTAACGTATATTAAAATTCAAATACTGAACAAAATTATAAAAACAATAAAAAACAACATTATATTGCACCAATGTTTTGATTTTAGAGAGAAAATCATACTATTCAAAAATTTTAATAGAATTAAAGCAATATTAAGTGGAATAGCTTTTTATTTCATTTTTTCAAACTAAATAGTAGTGAATTGAGTTTAAAGAACGTTACTATGTTTACGTAAAATTAAAACCTAATAATTAGCCGGAGCAATCGTTGTAAAATGATTAATTTTGACATATTATATGTGTACATTAGTTTATTTAATGTTTGATACCTTTAAGCATTTTAAAATAATGATGAAACTAATATAACATTTATTATAACATAAACGGCATTGCAATGAAATACTTTCTCCAATTTTTATTGAAAATCAATTTATTTCTTAAGAAACTGTTAGCTCAAATATTTAAAACTCAAATGAAAAAAATTAAATAAGAGAAAAATTATAAATTTTAAATTCCCTGCTCAACTGATTCTTAGCTATTAATTTATGTTAAAGTTGTAATTCGAATTTTAGTTTGATGATGAAAACCATACAATAACGTCTTATTATCCATTGTATCTATATACAAATAAATTATCATCTGTAGGTTAATTTTGCCATATTGTACATGTTATGTATACATACATGTATCTATAGCAAATAGATTAACTTTAAACTATAAGTAAGTAATTTTGAAGAAATAAATTGGGCTATGATTTTTTTCAGTATTTTCCTAAATAATGTAAATTTTATTACACCTTTTATTACAAGAACAACTTAAAATATACAGGCATATAAGTTTAAACTTTAAGCAGTTTTTGACCGTTGTTTTTTATTGTAGTTCATCTAGTTTTTATATTTTAATAACAAAAAAACATACAGCAATTTAGATATTATAATTCTATGTTTTATTATATTATGATTATGCCCTTTTCAAATGCAACTTTATATCTCAATGGTATGTCGAAATACATACAAATTATGATCTTTTAAAAATTGCATTTAAATTTTTTGCATTTTATTTTCAGCATGACTTTATTTAATTTTATATTAAACTGTTTATGAATGTTCTTAAATTTATTTCTTACCTTTTAAATGAATTTGATGTTTCACAAATTCTTTGCCATATTTTTAATTGACATAAATACAATATACATTTTTAAAAAAGCAAATATTTTCTTAATATAATATTGAACGTTTCAAATATACCATCCTGCCTTCATAGAAAAAAAAATTTTCTGTTTTGTTTTAATTCACTAATATTGACATGATTTTCACTTTAAAAAATCTATTCTTTTCTATCAAGTCTATAGTTCTGTTGACAGAGAAAAGTAGTTTAAAATTAAATTTGATTATATCTACCTAATACATTAATATAAGAGGCCTTAACCTGATAATTTATATTATTATATAACCATCCCAAATTTTAAAATATATTGATATGATTATATTTTCAATTATTATTGTCTAAAATCCATCTCGAAAGGTGAGAATTTTAAAAATCATTTTTATCAACGAAAAAAAAAATTCAAAGGAAGCACTCTAAAATAATTCGCGAATGTGCTATAAGAAGAAAATTTTAGGCACAAAGAGATAATTAATGTACAGGATATGCTAGAATCAAAGCATTTCCGAAACAGGATGATACAATGGATTCGGACGAACTAAAAATAAGAAATATATTTTTACACTTTTTCGCTCTCCTTCTCGTATTATCGGTCATCAAAGCTATTATTGTAATTGTATAACAGCAAGTTTTAATGGTATCATCATAATGGTATAACATCATTTCTAACGTTACATCAAAATATGACCTCTTATTAAGATTATCGCAATTAAGAGTAAAAATTTTCCAGTTAAATACATATTTTGTAAATCAAAAAAAGTTTTTTGTATCAAAGGATTCTTCGCTAAAAAAAGATTTTTATGAGATTTGAAATAAGTTTACAAGTTTATTACAGGTTTAAAGTTGCAACTTAAAGTGTATCAATCTGGAAAGTCCAGTGTACAAATTTAAGAAATATATAGGGACTTATATGTATATGACACTTAATTTTAATTAGTTGACGTCTTTCATGATGTTCAGACTAAACTATTATTAATTATATAGGTTAAGATGAACCTGAACTTTTCTCTGTCATTTTATGTAACTATTTATAAAACATGCTTAATACTATCTTATATTTTCATCATATGTATAGTATGTCTATTTCTCTCTTTTCTCCTGCTCTTTTTCCATCTTTTTTGTTTCAAAAATTTCATCTCTTTTACTGCATTTTATTTCAATTTCAACTTTTATCGATATTCCGCGCAGTCTATATTAAAATCTTCATTCACCTCTTTTGTCTTTATAATTTTGTTCATATAGTAATAAATGTTCATTAGATTATACTAAAAAAAACATTATGCATAAATGAACGTTTTAATCAAAGTATTTAATCAAATTCATACATAGTAGTTTTACAAAAAGAAATATTCGGAAAATAATCGTTCTATTATAATTTAACAAAAAAATCTAATATTAAACATTTTTTATTTTTAATACTTCTCTTTTATGAACCTATTTCTGATTGCACTCGTTAAATTCTCAAACGTACAATAATTATTATGCTGAATTGCAACTTAAATCTTATACTTCACCGTTAATAAATTCGTATAAACACTTTCAAATTGTACATAATGGAAATTTAAAACCAAACGGTCGTGTAGATAAATTGGATAGCTCTTTTTCAAGATCACGTTCATCATCAATGTCTAGTTTAGAAAATATTTCATCAGAGGCTGTCACATGCTTAGCATTCAGCGATAGTTATACAAAGAAAAGTGGTAAGTTTTAGTTGAATATACATATATGAAAAAAAACTTCACATAAAATTTCATTATACAAAAAGGTCGATTTAAAAGATTAAACTTAATTTTGTATCGAAAACTAAATTCGGAAAGAAGTTAAAATTGCATTTCTTTTGACGGAAAATGTAAACTTCATTATGATTTAGGTTTCCAATTGCATTTAAATAGTAGATTTTATTTGGTTATTTATCATTACATTATTATTATATTATTTTTATTCGCTTTCTTTTTTTATTGCTAATTTTATACCTTTTGTTTAGATCCTAGTCTATTAACGCCTACTTTATGGGTTGGCACGAGTTTAGGTTCGGTTCTTACAGTTTCTATATCTTTACCGGATGCTGACTGTCGAAACGCTCAACCAGTGCTTGTATCAATTTTGGGTAAATTTATTTATTTTTGAATAAGTCCTCAGTCATTTTTTTATTTAGTTTTCTTTTTTGCAAAAAACAAAATATACAAAAATTATTTTAGGCGGACCAATTTTCAGACTGAAAGGGTCAATTTTAGCAATGTCATTTTTAGATTGTAACGGAGCTTTAATACCTTATACATCTGATCCTTGGAAGGAAGAAGTCAAGCGGGATAGTAAGTATTTTTTCTTTGCATAAGTATGAGTACCTAAAAAAAATTATGTATGCTTTTGAATTTTCCAAAAACACATTCTTAAAATATATTTTTTTAACAAAATAGGGACACCAACAAAAAATCCAAATCGCATGAGTCCAACTTTAGGTGCTAGTGGTGCACCTAGTGGATTAGCAACAAGTACGGCTTGTGGCTCTGATAATTCATCGGGCGATAGACAATTTATAGTGATTGCTAGTGAAAAACAAGCTAGAGTTGTAGCTTTACCTAGTCAAAATTGTGTGTACAGGTTGCAAATAACAGAAACTGATTTTGTTGTTAAAGCCGAAATCGTCAGTATGAGAGGTTTGTCAAAAATAAATTTTTTTATTATTATAAAACAATCTTACTTTATTTTTCTTATTTTTTAGAGAGTGTTTGCTTAGCGGCGTATTTATCAAATGGTCATATAATGGCGTTTAGTCTTCCTAGCTTAAGGCCGCTATTAGATTGTGATTTTTTACCACTTATTGACTTAAGGTAAGAAAATGTAGCTCAACATTCTTTGTCACATGTATAAAAACAATATTTTCATACTTTTCACGATTAAAGAACTTTAATCAAAAGAGAAATGAAGTATCTACATATATAAAATGAAAACAGTATTATTTTATTTTGCAAATTATAAATTTTTTTTTTGCATTCTTATAAAAACGAAAACAAGAATATATGAAATAACATAAAATAACCAATGAAAACGACAGTAAATGGCTGGAAATTGAGTTACTTTTGTAATCAGTTTTAGAAATTCTTTTTGAAATTTCATTTTCATCTCACACAGTTTGAAATATTAAATTTTGTTTACAAACCAAACATATTGCATAAGAAAAGAATTCGCCGTCACATTTTCGAAATTGACGCAATCAGCATACTTCAAAAAAACTCAAGAATTTATTTTTAAAAAAGACAGTAATGTATTTGTTTATATATTTTTCAACAGATTTGTGTCAAAATTTTGAAATTTCAAGAAGATACTTATGATTTTTTTTGTCTCCAAGATAAATTGATTGATCGAATTACTAATATGTATATGTTTTATCTTAATGGACGCTTCCATTATTAATTTCAAAGATTGTACTTGGTTGATAACTCGTTTTTTTATTTATCTTCAAAAGGCTTCCATGCTTTGATATTCATAAATCATTACAAACTTTTAATACGTCCATAGAATTTTATTTCACCCTTAGTTTTTACGAATATAAAGCAAAGCAGAATCAAATTTATAATAAAAAAGTGTTATATAAATATTTAAAAATATTTTTATTTTTATTAATGAAATGTAAAAAAGCAACAGTAATAGAAATTTTTAATGTGTGAATCGAATTTATTAAAATTTGGTTACATTTTTTAAATTGATTACAAAAACTCTATTATCCAAACTTATATACATCTAATCCTAGAATTTTATATATTTATTAAAACAAAAAAAAAAAATTTTTTTTTAATTTAAATTGATAAAAAAAATTACACTTTAACAGAACCTAAAATTACAAAATTTTAATTCAAGTAAACATGCTTGTATTTCTATTTATTTTACTGTTTATGTATATTATTCTTCTTTATATTCTACTTTTAACATTAATCCTATAATAGAAATAGTAATAACATAATACATATATTAAATTGCACCTCCTATGTAAACCATTAACCCTAAACTAATTATGGTACAACAACATTCGAAACGTATATAAAACACTAAATTCTCATTTTACTAAAAAATCAACAAGAAATACTTTATAAAATGATTATAACTCACCACGTAACTATTTATTATATGTATATACATATATTATTAATGAATTGATTAAGCTATTATGCAACTTATATGTATGTATGTAGATATATTAATTTACAAATACAATCAAATCCCATTTTCCCACCACCACCCATAAGTCACGGTAAATTAATAATTTGATATCAATTAAAATTTCACATATTTTTTTAAATGTTTTTTATTATGTATATTCTTTTTTTTCAATATTATTAAGTATAATATATAATAATTGTTACATAAGATCAATTGTAAATATATATATATATATATATATATATATATATATATATAAACATACATATAAATTCATTTTTATTTTATACATTAAAATAATTTGTGTACAAATCCATTGCAATTATATTCAAATACACGTGTAAGTTTAGGTTTTCTAACCACTAAAATTACTGTCAATTTAAATATTGTATACTATATATAAAAAGTATGATAAATAGATAAATGCAATTATATAAAAAAAAAACTACAAACATAAAAAAATCACTGCACTATGTATACATAAATATTTTATTAATACTTTTTTAAAATATAATTAAATGCAAAACAATTAGCTACCAAATAAATATTGAAAAACAAATCAAAAACATATTAATTTAGAATTTTTAACAAATATAATTCCGTTTTTATAAATAATTTATTAATTAAAATAAAACAATTACAATAGGATACTCTATTTAGTTGTATGTTTAGCAAAAAATCATTTTATATTTTGTTTTTTATATTTTAAAATACTACAAAATAAAAGCTTTTCTGTCAAATTTAATTTCACAATTTTATTAATTATTTAAAACTAAAGAATAAAAAAAAGTTTTATAGTTTCAACTTTTTTACAACTATACAGTAGAATGCACTTTGTAATAATTTTCTTATTAATTTGAATTTATATATTATTTTCTTTTCTTTGAATTTTAATATATTTTACGTAAAATTAAAATTAATTTTAAAAATATTTAGGAAGTTGCATAAATATGTAATTTTAAGATTTATCTATAAATTCTAAAATCTAATTCTATAGTATATAGAGTCAGATTTTATAACTAATAAAATAGAAAAATATATTCTTCAGCATATTCGGCATTATGCTGAAAGTGCATACTTCCTTTTTTAAACAATATTAGCATAATTTAAAAGAAACAAAAGCATCACCCCGTTATTTTTCAAAGAATTTACATATGTATATAAAAAAATCTTTGATATTATAAAATATTGCAGATTTTTGTTATGAATAGACTGAAAATATATACAAATAAGTAACTATTGTTATAAAAATTACTTGCTTTAATCTGTTCAAGTAATTATTTTCCTCAGCGGTTTTTATATAGTATACGAGTATAAAAAAAACATTATAATAAGTATTTGCGTTATTTATTATGAAATATGCAACTTTCTTGTTTTGCTGCTATTATGGAAATTATATAAAAATTTATTAAAATCTAATAATATGTTTTAAGTTTAAAGAAGTAATTTTAGAAAGTCGATTTATTATATAAGAACTCGTAGTAGTTAGCAGAATGTTTCCGTTTTTATTTTTTCTTCACTACTTTTCGTACAAAGAACATCATACAAAAAATCACATTGAAAAAATTGCTATGCCTATATTACTTACATAAATACAAAATGTTATTGTACAGATTTTTGCTTTTTAGAATATCAAAATACGAAAATAAACTTATAGTATGTTGACGGGGCATCAAACAATTCTGAATGAAGCTTGAAGATTTTTTTTTGTCGGTCATGAAAAAAATTCAATAGCCATATTTGTGTTTTAACTTTTGTCCGAAATATTACAAAACAAAGGAGCCGCAAATTAAAATTACCATACATTAATATAATTTTCGACGTTTTATTCGTAGTTGCAAAAATTAATTTACTAATATCATGATTTCTACGAAACAAATAAAATAGGATCTTAGCAGCTCTTAAATTACAACTTATTTTAACCCTTTATTATGTATATAATTTAAAATTGTTATTATTAATATGAAAAAATACATAAATTATATTATAATATCTATTATGATGATTGATAAATATAATATTAATAAAAAGTTATACAACAATATATACCGTTGGTAAGAAGATTAAAAATTGATCCGGAATTAACTTTACTTTACTTAAACTCTCTAAAGAACTTCACTTTCTAAAACTAAATTTCAAGGGTTTCTGGAATACAGTCTTTTAACTTATAACTCGTGTTTTGAAAAGAAAGGAGCTTCAAACAAACAGTTTTCGAAGGGCTAGTAAAAGGCTTCAAATCACATTGTTATTTTTTGTGTATTTAATGTACTTTCGAAAATACCAGCGATGGAACTTTAAAAAAGTAATATTTTTCCCATTTTCTATTTTTTTGCTGTTCCTAATTCTGTTGGGCCAGAATATTCGGCTTATGATGCAGAGGCACTTATTTGTAAATACCTGCATTTTATCAATGTCTCTTTTTTTCATCATCCAGGTTTCATCTGAACACAACTTTATTGAGTTGACGCAGGTGTCGTAGACCCTCGGCTTGACATTTTTGGAAAGTTGTATGGACCTTTAGACCTTCAGCAATCTAGCGAATACCGCCCTAGTTCTTCTGAGCTTGCCTTCTATATAACACTTGCCCCGCCATCTGAATTTATAACGCTCCCCAAATACTTTACAGTGTTTACATCTTGTATTGCATCGCTATCAATCTCAAACACTTGGTTGTTTACAGTATTCATTCAAACGGTCTTTGTTTTTGTTGAATTTATTTGTAAATCTCAGACACACATATGTTCATATGTGTGTGTGAGAAGGCAAACATCATCCACATACTCAAGATCATCTAGGGTGTTGAAGATGTCCCAGTTGATCCCATTTCTAACTTCGTTTGTTTTCCTCATAATTTCATCTATAATAATGTTGAAGAGGACTGGCGAAAGGGCATAGCTCCACCTAACTCCTCGCGTTGTTAATATGGGCCCACTTAGTGGCGAGGACTCACAAGGAAAGAAGTTGTGTCCCCGCATTATCACGCATCGCCCCGATAACTCATCGTAATTATCTTGTTAAGGATTCTCCTTAACTCCAGAGCTCTTCACATTGCATTTCTATCTAGCTAAAAAAAAATTATATCTAAATAAAAAAATAATAGTTTAAAATCAATTTCAATTAATATCTAATGTAAACAAGTAAATTGTTTAGTAAATAGAACGGCTTTTGTCGACCGCATTGCACAAAACAAGGCATATATTTTTTTGATACGAAACTTGGCTTGTCGAAATTTCAAAAGGAAAAGAAATTTTTGTTTCTATGATAAAAGAGAAGATGGAAAACTTTATCCAATAAGCTTTTTGTCATCTGTTCGTCAGTTAATCCGAATGCTTTTTCTCTATGGTCACAATGACGTGATAAACTTATGTAAGGGTAAATGTTATATCTTTAATGGAGAAGGAGCCGTTAAGGAATCGGGGCCAGAAAAAGGATGTTGACTTTAGGATGTTGGGCAAATTTGTCTGCCTGGATATAATTTATTTGAAAGGACATTAATTAGTGTTTATCAATATAACGCAAAAATATAGGTACAATGCGGTCGATGATAAGCCATTCGTTTTAGGATTTTTTTAATATAGTTGTGTAAGTTTTAACGAAAATTACATCATATATATTATATACAAGTACTTAAATATTTATTTTAAAAACTTATATATATATATATATATATGATTTAGTTTATATATATTAAAATTCTTATGTATGTCAATATGTATATTTCTATATAGTATATATATCGTAATCATTATAGCAATTAATAAAAAAAAAGAATAAGTATTAAATTTTGAATTTAAAAATTTCACCTATTACGATATTGTTAATTTATTATAGACGTTGAAGAATATTAATATCAAAACCAATTTTGAATTAAATTTATTTTTGAACTAATTTCCCCACCATCACCTGTATTTAACCTCACTTTAAAAAAACAAAAACCCCAAAGAAACCAAACCCCTATAACCAAAAGTAAAAAAAAAACAATAAACCCATACATAAATGTTTTGTTATTATAATCGTTTTGTATGTTATATTATATACCATTAGCTTTCAGACAAAATGTAAGCAAGGAATTGTAGATCCAATGCTTTCAATATGGGGCCAGCAACTAATTGTGCACGAGGATACTAATCAGTAAGTTTGTGGCTAACAAAAAGTTTTTCATTAGCAAATTATCTAATAAATAAGCAAAAAATAAAATAGTTAAATTTACAAAACATATTGTACAAAAAATCAATGTTAATTTTATATAAAATAATGTTTCGTATATATTTGAGATATATATTATACATATATATATATTATGTTTCATTAATAAAATAAAAAAAATTCTAAATATTATTAACATAGAAAAACCAAAAAAATACATTTAAAAACTTTCTTAAATTAAATTTTCTCGTTATTGAAATTATTTATAATTACTTAATTGAATATATTGTAAATAGAAACTTAATTCCCTTATCCCTTTAAAAAAATTATTTTTACAAAGTTTTTTTTTAATTTAAATTTGTTAAATATGAAAAATATGCGAGTATATTATTATGAATTGAGTATATTATTTTTAAAATGTTAAATTCACATATTGAAGCACAAACATTAAGCTGTTATTGATAAAAATAAGTTATATTCTTTTAATTTTTATGTAAAAACTACACAATGCGATCTGATAAACACTTTTTTATTCACAATTCTATTTTCTTAACAAAATAGAATTTCAAAACTTAGTTAAAAAAAAAAATTCTTTTTCTGTATAACTACAAAATATGCTTAAAACCCAAATTTTCAAATTACAGTAATTAGTACATATGCATATTGTTTCCGATAATTAAGTACATACGTATGTATTATAATTTATTATAAATTGTATTAAAACTACTGAATGTTAGTTTTTGACGAACTATTTTCTCGTTTTTCCAAGAAGTTTGACTCACTTAAAATTTTTGACAAATATGTTTAAATTAAATATTATTCCTTGTCTTTGTAACTTCAGGTTTTACGCTGCTTGTACAACCTTTCGTTCAAAAAAAATTACTTTATAAGTATAATAAAAATAATACAATAATAATAATAATAATATAATAACACTAGATCATGTGGATCAAATAACACTGAATTATTATTTGAATTTGCTTTACATATTGATATAATTAAAAATCTCTATTAACATATAACTATTGCGATACTAACTTTTATGAATTTTCCAGTTTAACAATTAATTAACAGTGATTAAAAGAGTGTTTTATCAATATGTATAAATGAAGTTCTAAAATGAATGAAACTTAAAAATACTAATAATTTACAATAATTTTTACAAACAGAATTTAATTTCGGACATTTTTATATTAGGTTCCACTATATATATAAAATAAATTAACAAAAAATAATAGTTCAATTTTCTAAATACGCAAAGTTCGATACACAATACATAAATGTGATCAATAACATAAATTAAAGAAATTTTTTAACAGAATTACATGAAGTTTTCCTGAAATTCTATTTTAGTTTATGTGAGTGCAAAAGTTCAAATAATTCGACAAAATTTTTGTAAATAGATCCACAATTTTGAAAATTTATTTAATCAACAAATGATACAACTCTGTAACGATTTTTTTAGAAATTGTTTTAGCTCTTCGTGAAGTTCAACTTGGTTCTGCAGGTTTGAAAGTTCTAAATATAAATGTTTTTAGCACATTACATCATGTTAATCTCAAAAATCCTGGTGTTTGTGCTTTATTACACACTATCAGCACAGTGTTATAATAAACTAGTGATTTATTAAACATAATAACTTCAAAACTTTAAAATATTAAAACCTTTCCTATCATTGTAGAAATATAATATATTGTAACTTCAAGTTTTTGTATTTAAATAATAAACTTGCACTCACAAACCTCTTTTTAAATGAATAAATTATCGTACTAATGATATGTAACTACATATTATATGTATACGTTTTGCCTATTAAATACATTGTTTTCAGTATTTCTTCATCCAATTCCAAATTAATTCCAAATTATTTAAATATATATATATATATATTACAAATATATAAATATGTATATATATATATTTTACACATAATTAAGCATATAATATATTATATTATAAGAACATACACTTTATAAAACCTTCCTAGCATGCTAAATTATTTTTAAATTTATTAAAACTTCTTACATGTTTTGTAATATGTTACATAATATATTTGTACTAAGCCATTAAATATAAAATTATTCTATTTGCATGTTTTCTCAACTTTTTTAAAATTTATTTGTTTATTTCTATAAACGTTTTGTATAAAGTAATAATAATAATTCTTATCCGTTTTTTTATGTTTTGTGTTTTTTTTATTAAGTAAAAACAAATTAAATTTTTATTTCTATTTCACCGATTTAAAAGAAAATATTAAAAACCATAAGATTTACTATTACAGTTTCACACAATCATTTCCATAAATTAAAAATATTCATAAAATAATATTATTAACAATTAATGAAACTAAAATTTTAAATTATTTAACATACCAATGTAAATATCAAAAGATTATTGCGTGTACAAAAAAAAAAATTATAAAAAGTAAAACGTTTTACTCGATTTGCTTTTCATTTTAAAATTCAGGTGTTCCGATAGATTGGTTCAGTTATATCTTATTCATAAGTATTATAAAATGAATACAATTATTATTATCTTTTTTCTCTTGCATTGCATTGTATTACTTACATATATTATATTTTTTGCGATCTTCCATAAGAGCAATTGGAGTATCCTTTATATATCTTCTTAAGCATGCAACTTGTTAGGTCGTTATAAATAAAACTGCGTACTTTTAATTATCTACTGAGCGAGTTGACGTTTACGCGATATTGAGAGCATCATGAATAAATCATAAAATATCATATGTAACCCAATACACAAGTCAATTGAATTGTCTTCAAATTTGATTTTTAAATTTTGATTCTATTATCTACACTTTTTTTATAATTAATTAAAAAGTTCGGTGTTAAAATTTTATTTAAAAAATTATAATATTTAAACAAAGTAAAGAAAAGTTTTTGTGAAATATTACGTGGTTTTATGGTGTCATTGTGCCAATTTTGTATTGCACAAAAAATTTTAAAAACTAATTTTAAATTTAACAACAAATAATGAACATACATATTTCATTCACTTACTTAAATTTAATTTATAATATTTTTACTTAGAATTTTTGCAATCTGATATTGCACAAGTAACGTAAAGTATTTTTTGTTTAAATATATATGTACATATCTAAATTATATTTCACATTTTGTTTTTAAATACGTGCAGTATATTTCGTATTTTTTCTTGTCTTAGTTTTACAGTACATTGCAAAAATATTTTAAATATTTTATATAATTATAGAAACAAATTTAATAGACTTCGACTTCTACTGATAATAAAAAAAAAATAAACTTTTTTTAACATATTTTCATTTTCTTAAAATTTTAATACTTATACTTAACTAACAAAAAACAAATCTTTTACAATTTATGCTAATAACTATGAGTAAAACGTTTATATAAAATTATAAATCCCTTATATTATCTCATTTTATTTTTTATTTAATCTTTTAATAAAGAACAGTTTTTCTTCCATTAAATTTTATTTAATACAAAAAATATAATTCAAAAACATTATTTTTCCCTTGTTGCACGAAAGGATTTCAAAAACATTCTGCTTTAGTAATAAAGGACATGGACTATATCTTGCAACACCCACCGAAATTCAAAAATTTACAATTTGTTCGGAATTCTGGTAACTTATAAGTTTTTACTCATGTAATGTTATAATATTTTTACTAATTTTTTTAAAACTTTATTTCAGTCAATTCTATAATGATAATATGATGGGTGAACTATTCGCAGCACATGAAATGCCTGAACCACCAAAGGAAAGTTTCTTCAAAGGATTATTTGGTGGTGGTATCAGATCGCTTGATCGTGAAGAATTATGTAAGTTTCAAGTTATGTACTCAAATTTTAATAAAAGTAACTAACTAATTTTATAAAAACAAATTATATAAGAGTATAGCATGTTTGTCAGCAACAATGCAGATATTATTTTTAAATTACTTGACTTATACTCTTCCATAGTATTTAATTTTATGCAATAGATTGTATCGTTTTTCAAAAACTTTTATGTATTTATTTTATGACGGATAAAAAAACGGTTATGTTAAGGAAATTTTTGTTTTCATTTTAAAAAATTTAAATAGTATACATACTTCTTATGGATAACAAACACCAGCAAGACATGAAAGTTAAAACAAAATTTTCAAAGTATATACATTGGTGGAAAAATTTCTTTTCAATTCATTCCCATTATAATGCCAATATAAATTCTGATCCAGTTTCTAATAAAATTGTCAAAATTTATATAATAAAAATTTATCGTCAAAATTTATATAATAAAATAATAATCAAAAGGCCATATGGCCTTAATGAATCCTAAAATGTTACTTTGTGGAACAAAGAGTTTAAAAGAATGGAAAGGGGGAGTGATTTTCTTCTATAAAATTATGTTTTTCGTAAGGATTATAGATTAAATTGCAGTTTTCTATCTGAAAGACTGTAGAAGTTTCTATTCAAAAATTTTAGAAATAAACAAATACGGGAAAAGACGTACGAATAGACACAGCGAAACTAAAAAGTACATTTTTTCCAAATTTGGTTAAAATGACAGCTATTGTAAGATTTTTAAATATTTTAATGTTATTGAATAATGAATAATAAAAAATTTCATAATAAATTCGACGAAATCTATGAAACTATAATATTTTCAGAATATTAATACAATTAACAAGTTAATTATATTAAAAAATAAATCAATATTTTTTTCAATATAAATTATTCGATGTGTATACATATGTAAATGACACGATAATACTAACACGAATGTCAATTTTGTTTTAGTTGGCGATCTAGCTGGAAAAGCAAATCGTTCTGTTGCTAAGCATATACCAGGCTCAAATCTTGAACAATTAGGTCAAAGAGCAAGTACCGCAACATCTGAAATTAGTCGTGCACATCAGTTAGCAATGGAACGTGGTGAAAAATTGAATTTGTTGGAAGAAAGGGCTGAACGTATGTCAAGCGCAGCACAAGATTTCAGTGGTACAGCGCATTCATTAATGCTAAAGTATAAAGATAAAAAATGGTATCAATTGTAAAAAAATAAAACAAATAATAGCATAGTTATAATTCTATACACATATTATGTATATAATAATATTTGTGAAATTTCTTTTTGATTTTTTTTTAAGAAAAATCTTGTTTTCATTTATATATAGTCAAATGTGAAACATCTAACTAATGTAAAATACATACAAAAACGCATTATATATTAGCAAACAGAAAATTTATTTAATACAATGTAATAATATATATAATTAATAAGATCAAACTGAAAAAAGCGTAACAAAATATTTTTCGAGTCAAAAATTAATATAAAGAAACACAATTATAAAATTACAATTAATATAACATATATTTTTACAAAATAATATTGAACAATAAAACAGAAAATTACTGTCTTATATTTACGCAACTATTTCAGAACATAAAGTTAATTAAATTATTGTTTTAGTATTTTTTTGAATTTTTAACGTTATTTATTGTTATATTTATTGTAAAACTTTTGTTAAGTAGAAAATATATTCAATACACAATTTCAAAATACTATTTTAAATATTTTCGTTAAAACTTTAACCGAAAATTACGTGAAGGAATCTTAGGGGAGATAAATTTTATTTTTATATAAAATTTTATTTTTAAGATTTGAGGCATGCCAAAACAAATATTTACTTGTATGATGCAGATTTTTGAAGTTGTTTCTATATATCTTAAAATTAAGCTAACCTTTTACAAATTCTAACAATTAAACTAAAATAGAAATTTCAAAAATGTAAAAATAGAATTATAAACAATTATAAAAGCAGAATTTATGTGTTTAAAATTTGTGTACAAAATCAGTTTTACATTATTTTCGTGCAGACTTTGCTTCCAAATATTTTATTTATCGAATTTAGATAATTTACTATAAAGTACCAAATAAGATAAACGCACATTAATTATCATTTAACATTTTATAATTTTATGTGCATTCCCTTATCATCAAATTTTTGTTTGATTTGTTTGATTTTAAGTATATGAATATTCACTTACTAAAAATTACATTATCAAATTTTTATGCTAAAAGTAATCTCATATGCATGTTTTTATTTTAATCGGTTCTAAAGTGGAGGTACAAGAGTGCTGAAGCAAACTGAACTCATCTTTCTAAAAATAGCTCATCTCCGCTTCTTTATTAAAGTAATCGGTTTTTTTTTGTAACTTCGGTAATTGTCTGTATTTTTTTATTTATCTCATGTTTTTTCAAAATGATTAAAATTTGCTTTTGGTACATTGGTACATACTGTGTCCGATATCTCGTTCAAAAATAGATTTGCTGATCAATGTGATATTTTTTGATTGATCGCATTTCTATAAATACGATACGCAATCTTTTTTTGCATACTTATTTTTCATATATAGATGAATAAATGTTTCACGAGGTATAGAACCATTATCCATCGCAGTTGTAAAATGTATGGTATTAATATAATATTTATAAATGATATATTATGTCTTACCTATTTTAGGTTCATTATAAACAGCCTTTTTTTTAAATATTTTTTGAAATCACGGTTAGAAGATTTATACTTGCTACTACTATGGCTTTTTTAATACATTTAATAATTCTCCATAATTCATGGACTTATATTGTACTATATATTTGGCACCCGTATACTAACATTGGTCTGATTATTTTCTTGTACACTATGATGATTACATATCTCTTTGCTACTTTTTATTTTTTAGGAAAGCTTTATTAGTTTTCAAATGAAAAATTTTTTTCGCGATTTCGTTGTTTGTTGATTTCCTAAAAGCTTTGAAAGGTGGAGAAAACTGCTTTTTCAACTACGAAGATAACTCATATGTCATCTTTATATTGATTGCAATATTTTAAATTCATAAGTAACGAACATGGAAAATTTACGCTAAATTTTAATCACGTCCTTATTTCAACATAAAAAACAAAACATTGTTGCAAAAATTTTTGTTAACTTAGATTAATGGTTTAATATATTTTTAATTTTTGTCATAAACAAAAGACAAAATTTATAATTTTCTATTTGTACTAAATGGAAAACCGTTATTGAAAATTACGAGTAGAATTTTGATTGATTGAATTTTTTATTGAAAAATTAAAATTTCGCAATGTATAATCATCTTTTCTCCCTTTTTTTTATAAAATTCGAACTAAATTTTTAATCGTAAAATTCAGTTCGTTAAATAAAAAGTATATTAAAAGTACAAGCATACTTGTACTTGTATATATTTTTACAAAGTCAAAGTATGTGCCAGATTTGTATACCACCCGAATCTACTTTCATACTTTTTTTAAAAAAAGTAAATCACATTTAAAACTAAATAATAATTGTATTATATGTACAACTTCTAGGTATCATTGTAAAAATGTTCAATATTCAATTTCACTTGAATATCAATTTAATTTATCAAAATATAATAGATAGCAAAAAATAATAAAAAACTACATTATTAATGGTATAATTATATAAATAACATGAATATATACAAACAACTATATATATGTAATTTTACGTATGCATAAATAGTGTAAAATAAATAAATCTACTTTTAACTATAGAAACGTATTCTTATGATTTTAAAAAAAAAATTTTATTAAAAAATAAACAAATAATAATACATACACATATGAATACATATCTGTATATTTAATGCATCCTATAAGATATAAAACTAGCATATAAAATTCACTATTATGCTAGTTTTATAGCATAATATATTACTAGCATAATTTTCAATTTCACCTTTTATTTACTTTGGAATTGGAACTCTTGTAAGAGATGGTGTTTGAAATCTTTAAATATTTATACTCGTATCATTCGCGAATAAGATTACTGATTTTTTCAATTGGATTTTCGGATCGAGTGAACTTCAAAAAAAAATTAAGGAATAGTAACTAAATTTACTAAAGCAGATACAAAATATTATCATACCCTAAGGATAAGTAATTGGTTTTTAGGTACCTCAAAAAAATCTTAACAATTTTTGCTATAAGAGATACCACTCATAACTTTTATTGCATATGTAATTGATTTAATAAATCATATACAAAAGAAACAAAAAAATTTGAGAGTATATTGCCAAAATTAAAGCAATGTTTTCTGTGTGAGTGATTACAGTTTTGTAACAATGGCAGGAATAATCACATAAAGTTTGAAAAGAAATCTTCAGTTATTTGAAAGTTCAAAAAAACAAATTTTATTCTTAAAGGTCGTTTTGTTCAGTTTGCAAATATTTCTGAAAAGTAAAATATTTAATAATATTTCTAATTGCGCTGTAATTTAAGTCACGTTAAATTAAGTTAACTGTGAAAGAAATAAATTAACTTTTTTCCGAAACTTTTTTTTACATAATATTTTTATAAATTCACAATTTTCATTTTAGAATTGTGCGACTTTTTGAAATTGTGTTACGAAATCATTGTACAGTAAGATTTACAGCAATTTATAAAAATTGTATATTATTGCACGAAATCGTATTTTATCAAGTCTTTTATTTTTTTTAAAAAATAAAATCTAAATTTCTATTTTTTGAAATAATAATTCACTTTCATTACAATATTTATTTGCAAATATCAAATTACTGAAACTTTTCAGAGAGAGCAATTTATGATTTAATTAATATTTTACTACTTTTAAAAACTAAAAAAGATGTTAGTATTTTCGATTTCCATGTGAAAAAAATAAATTCAATGTGTCGATCACGTGTCGTTAAAAATCATGTTTTATTGATATATAAAAATTATATCTATAATGGTTCAATTAAAAATAAATAAAATTTGTAAAAGATTTTTTTTGTCATTCAGAAATAAGAACAGAAAAATTTCAAATGTAAGACTACAAAAATTTTTAACATTGAAAATAACTTGACAAAACTAAAGAGCTTAAAAACAGTTATGATGTATTGACTATTTTCAGACAATATTGTATTATATTTTTTTCAATTCTCTTGAAAGTAACTTAGTTTTATACACCTCTGTAATTTGGTATTTGAAGGAATTGCAAACATTATAATTAAGATTATTAATTACTAACAGCATGAATACGAAAAAAACTCTTTAAAATATATCTGTGGTTTCAAAAATATATTAAAAAATTCTTAAAAACCTTTTGAGTTGAGTACTATGTAAAATTAAAAACCAGTTATTTTTTAAAATCTATAAATTTTTACAAAGAATTACAAAATTAAAAATTCTCTCGTCTGCAAATATGCAAATCGAAAGTTATCTTGACTTATGCAGTAATACAATTTCAATTAATGAATAAGTGGACTATAAATTAGTTTGCATTTAGGTAAATGCCTGAATTTTAAAAATATTAAATTACACACTGTAACGAAAATATTAAAATTTAAGCTATACCAAAATATATTATATTAGAGAACTACATATTTAGAGGTTTGTAATTGAATAACTTCATTAAATTACAAATATTGCAAGCTAGGAACTAATTTGTTGAAAAGAATTGTATTTGAAAAAGAGATAATTGTCTTGAAATTTAATTTTCCAAAAACATTTTTTTAAAATAAAATCGTTAAAGAAAACTACATATCCAAAAAAAAACCACCATTTTATTTATTAAATGTTTATGTACATAAAGATAAACAATTTTTAACCAAGCGAAGTAATCTATAAAATTAATTACTTCAAAAAAAATTATAGTTTTACATTTTTATAAAAGCAAAAGTCATTTAATAGCAGAAAATCATGCATTTCTATATACCAATTTTATGAGAGATAGAGGAAAATGATATATGGGTTAAATTTTTGAATTTCATGGTAGTGCATCGAAAAAACCAAAAAAAAATAATAACACACATTTTCCAGAAATTTTGAGTTTTTAAAAAAAAAAATTCAAAAAAAAAAAACAAAAATTCTGACTTTCACAAAATTTTTCTATCTAATTTATTAATTTTCTATACTAACAAAAAGCTATGAATCAAATCAAATTGATTATAAGCCTGTGAAACCAACTCCGATGATTATGTCGCACGATTCAGAAGTTATAAGCATTTATTTATTTGCACGAAAAATCTGGTACCTTTTTTTTAACAGACTGTAGGTCGAAAACGAGTACATCTCCTCCTCCCGCACACGTCCCGGTTCGCCCCCACCCCCTTTAATCAATCTTTTGTTGGAAATTTATCAGAGAATCATCCCTGAAATTATTTGCCACCTTATGCGTAACACCCTGTATATGTAAATGTGGTATGCAAAATATTGAAATATTTTTTTGAAATAAAGCTAATTATCAGAATTATAGAATAAAAGTTTGATTTTACAATACAAATTAAAAAAAAAATTGTGGTTTTTATCTTTTGGCCTTAAATTAAACATCTCTATATAATTTTACCATTGATTGACTAATTAAAAAAAAATTTGATTTGGCCAGCAATCTGACATAACCGACCGCAATGTGGGTCGATTAGTGAAAATGTTACAGAATATTATGAAAATCCTTTTAAACTTTCTTTCCAATTATAAGGAAGTTAGCAAGCCTTAAGTTAACATACCTAGAATAATGTAATTTTTGGAACTTAGTGAGTTTCGCTTTGTGTCATCCTGAAAATTCCGCCAATTAATTTCTGTAGCAACCAGAACTCAAATATTAAATTTCAAGAAGTTCCGCCTGTTAATTGGTTAGATATGGTAAAAATTATAAAGTCGACTCCCAGTTCCGTTTCCGAGCGCAAAAAAATTATAGATTTGCTGTTTTAATACCCTTAATTTACATAAATATTAAATTTCAAGGAAATTGGCTGATTATTTTTATTTATCTTTATATGCGATATATATCAAAAGTTGATCAATCCGTGATGTAGCCAAAACAATATCACATATAAAATTTCATCAAAATTGGTTCAGCCGAACTTGAGATGCAAGTGTGCATACACTTCTAATTGCAATGCGATCAATAAATACAGTTGAATTCAGACAATTTATTCAAACTTATTTCTTTATCGAAATTACAGTCTTAGTTCTAATTCTGTATCGAATTTACAGTTGTCTTTAACAGTGCATCAGTTTAAATACTATTTTACTATGGTCGCAAAGGTTTTTTTTTATAACTGAGTTGCAACTGATTTTTATGAAATCTTACATGTGAGTTTATTTGGGGTATGGCACGGATTGATCAACTTTTGGGATATATCAGGCCTTGGGAACTGAATCTTTTTGCGGACCAATTTTACATTTTTGCGTATATAAAGAAAAATAATCAGCTAATTTCCTTGAAATTTAATACTTATTAGGGGTGTTAAAGCAATGAATCGATAAATATTTTAGAAAGATCAGTGCTCGGAAACCGACCGGGACTCGGTTTTAG